TTAGTAGAGCTACACATTAAAAATTCAAGATGCAGTAGAAAAACCTTGTTCCTTAAAGGATCTTAAGGAGAAGAGAAAGCAAGTATTTGCTTAGTGACAGTCTGTGGCTGCTATTTATGTTGCAATTCCAYGGTTGGCTGTTTAAACCAGACAAGGTTTAAAAGCCCATTAAGGTAGCCTGTATCTCTACCTTCTAAATTAAGGCATTTGATTTCTAGAACCATGTGCATACCTYTCAGTTCCAAAGCTCTAGCATGTCCAAAACAAGGGTGGAAATACGAACTTAACAATACAATTAAGCAACACAAGCTCCTTTAGTACCATACAACAAACTAATGCTTTACAGAAGCTATACAGGTACAGTATTTCAGAGGCTATTGAAGAAGTATAGTTAATATGAATTGATGGTCTTTCAGCAAGTACTTCCCATTCCACTAGGATAGTAAGTTTAAAACAAGACAATATGAGAACTACTATTAGCTTATATTTCTTTCAAGGAAATTAATAAAGTCAAAACACATCCACTAAGGCTACATGTACAACTACACAATAATACTTAAGTCATTTACAGAGGGCTTCTCTGAACAAGCACGTCCTGCATCAATACCGCTTGCATCTTACTGATTTTTCTTGAACAGTCAGAAAGTTACTCACCATCCAGGAGGCTTTCCTGATTAATGGTGCTCTCAGAATGGTTCAGTTCATCAGAAGATAAGCAGATTAGGCTTTTCCCTATAACCTGAACTGGCACCAACTCTCCAAAAGTCATACTGTATAAGGAGGCTAACCAGCTCTACAAGTGCACCGCAAATCGGTGTTGGAGGTATCTTTATGGCATCTACTGTGCCATCAGAAAGAGACAGTTAGGGATGTACACTGCAGAGTCATCAGAAAAGCAGACTTCTGCAGCATCCCTTCCTCTTTTCTGTTCCCTCTGCATAGAACATTGTCAGGGTCAAGAGGAGAATGAATACAAAAAAATGTTGTAAATAACTTGCTGATATGAATGGGAGCTTGGAGAGGATCAGTCTTCACAAGTGGCCATACTTTCAGCCTAGAATTAGGTAAGTCTCCAGTAAGTGGGGTCAAGGAGAATATAAAGGAGGATGTAATTTGAAGTAATAGAAGTTTAAAAAGCACAGATATTAAAATACTGATTTGCTTGTTTTAACAACACAATCTCCTACAGGAACAGTGGTTCAAAATGAAACATCTCATACCATGAGGTAGTTGATACGCACAATTAGTTAACAAAGTCTTGTCCAAAACAATGAAACATTCAGTATCTACAAATTGAAGTGAACTATTGGAGCTTAAATCCAATTTTGGGAGCTATTTATTTCAACACTGGTGAATAAAAGAACAGTTAAAACTCCTGGATGTTCTTCAAGTCCCTCTCTACCAATATCAACTWGAAAGGACATACGTGCTCTACATCTTTGAGAAAAAGCTATCTCTAATTGTTTTGTAGTGTTGTCACGTCAGTGTTTTGTGGGAAGGTTTATTTTCAAAGCAGATTAAAAAAGTCCACCAAAATTTTAAGCAAGAGTCATCACTGAGGGCAGCTACTGCAGCTGTACAGAAACCAGAAGTTATTTATAGTCTCTTAATACACTGATCACTTAAAATTCATTTTAAGGCATTGTGTTTTCAGATATGAGATCAGTCCTAGAACTGAAAGGCATTCTACATTATCTGTTGTGTCATCAAAAGATGACATGGGTTTATATTAGCCATATGTGGCAATCTGACAGGGCCCAAGTTACTCATCATTCTCTCCCTAAGGCCCTAAATTGACTTCTTTTGTAGTTGGAAAATGGGCTCTGAACCACAAAACCCCAAATGAAGCTTGACAGCAGAAATCTGTATAAAGAGGAGCTTGACACTTCTTTCTTTCCCCCCCACCCCAAACGAATCATTAGCTGTGTTTGCACATTTAAACCCTGCCTTATAACTTTCATTTTCCTACTGAACTTACTCAGTAGTTTTCAGATGGGCCTGAAACAAAGTACTGAAGTACTCTCAAATTCCAACAAATTACACTACTGCAAGAAACTGCTTGTCAAGTTACAGAAGTAATCTATGGTTAATCTATGGTGGAAGCTTTTCTTAACTTTGGAAGCTGTTGGAAGACACTGAGCTGTGAACTGCTAGGTATGGGAAAGGCAATAATTACTATCCAGCAACGATTATCTTTCTGCTTTGGAGAACTTGCCTTAGAGCACTGATCCATTCCAGACCTAAAGGAACGGAGACTAGTTTACTGAAGCCCTAGGATCTGGAATAACTTCTGGTGCAAGTCCTACAAAAGCCACAAGGACATCTCTAATCCTCTTCACTTCAAGTTACCATTCTCTTATGAGGGAGCAGAGGAAAGGAAGGGGCAATATTTTGGTATTTTATTATTGCTCTAAACATTCAGATGCACAGACAGTAGCTAGTGCTACTTAAGTCTTATGTTTAAACAATGAAATCCAGTACTAAAGAAAATGAAAGCTGTAGAGAATGCTCCAACTTCAGAGATCTCATACTATACCGTGAATCGTGTCTGTCACCTGGAAACCAGAGTGCTCTAGGCACGATCGCATGGGCAAGCCTGCAGCAGAGAACACATGCATATACAACTAAAGTGGTACATTACCCCCAGAACACCCTTAACGCCACCCAACACAAATATATCCCCCGTAAGAGGTGCTTGGTTTCTTTCAAGCCGTCTGCCAGTGCCAGGGATTTGTAGTTACTCCATGCTACAAACAAACATGGACACCAACAATCACAGAAGACGTTGATAATTACAGTAACAACAGCAGTCTGCATTTTATTTAGTTACAAAAAATAAAAGGCAGCAAGGCAGGTATGGAAAAAAATTACCACAGAACTGTGGCAACCATAATTGCTTGTGTCTGTTCACAAGGAAACTGAGACACCAGAGGGGAATATTAGATATACTGGTTTGTTTTTCCTCATTTATAAGCAAGAATTTGCTTTGGCTGTTGCAAAATAACAGAGCCCCAAGTAAAGCAGAGTTCAAGGTTCTTTTGACATGTGTAAGAATGGGAATCAACCCCAAGTTAACTTTGGATAGGTGAACTTCAGATTCTTTTTTTCTTAAATGATGCCAGCATATGTTGAAATCCTACTTCTAACGTGAGAAATTTTAGATGATATRAATTTAATGCTAGAAAGGCTACCGTGATCTGTGTATGAAATCCAATCTTAAAGCCTAAAGATTAAACAGCATATTGTTGGAGAAACTTTTCTTTCAGTGGTTATACACTGATATAGCCAACAGTTTAAGGCATTTTATAATGAGGAAGTTTTACTTTCATTGCTCCACTTAAATTTTAGCTACTGAACTGGAGCAAAAGTGAGCAGAGTAAGGCAATTCCCTTTATCCAATATATGACATATCTGCATTGTGCCTCAAACATTTGAGTTTTAATGTGGTTAGTAATTTAACCTATCACAAGCACAAATACTTGTCTTAAAAAAGTTCTGTTCAAGGATATACTCAAGAGAAGTCCTTGATTTTTAAACATCCATGCCAGTGAGACCATTCATAATAATGGTCAAGACAGTTCAGTTCATCTCCCCCCAACTCCTCCCTCCCCCCCAAAAAAACATTCATGCACACAAAAAAAAATTGCTTAAACATATCAGCTATGACAGAGGAAAGCACAACGCCTTCCCTGTGTGGCAGCTTAAGCCAACTGGCATGGTTTATACTGGATGAGTTTCATGTACTGACATTTGTGTCTTCCAAGATTCATAATAAGCAAACTGGGGTTATTTTCAAACTGCAAGAGTTCCTTTAAAAGGTGGCTCAAATAAAATCATGGTACTAGTATTATTAATTCTTAAGTTAGTATTTGATATCTATTTTTCACTCTGTGCAAAGTTTCAAATTAAATATCAGGAACGTCTACTTCAATTTGGTGCAGGCTGTTAACGTTATTTTACAGTAAGGAATACAAGGAGCTGACATTGCTTGTTTTGTGCTCCAATGTCAACAGCAAGTAAAATASACAAGAGTTAAAACATGCTTCAAAGGCTCAAACAAACAAGCAGTAACTACTAATACCCAGTGGCAGCTAGAAATGATTGAGAACGAAGTCTCAATTTTAGGATAAGGCCTCATAATTCTTAAATTATGTTAACAGTGTCCATGATTCGGTATAGGGCTTCAAAAAATAGTGACATTACTGAGAGAGTAATTTGCCGTTGCTTTGGCAAAGATACTGCTTGTGCCACCCAGAAATTAGTGAGACTCCTAAGTGAGGTTTTCAAAATACCCCAGTAAAAACAGTTTGCTTATGTTTTAGCTTATATTTAACATATAGGGGCTGGAAGAGACAAATGTTTGTTGACAGAAATTGTGAACCTCAATGCAATCTGAAAGTTTTACCTTGGGACTTTCTCTGCTTACTTAACCTTTAGTGAACTGCACCAACAAGAGCAGTCATTTCACTGCCACTATGGAAATAAAGGAAGTTAGACATCTCAAAAGATCCTTCAACACCAAGAGCAGACAGGTTAGAAAGTTATGAACACACTTTCAATTTTAAAACCGAATTAGTTATTTGATTTTAGAGCCCAAAAATTTAATTTTGATTTTTTCAGGGAATAGGGGCACAGGAAAGGGAAGTTAAGAAAAAAACTAAGGGAATAGGAAGGCAAACAAATTCTAGTCTACTTAAAAAAAAACAGAGAAGGACTACATTTTGTCACAGCACTTGGGCAGCAGAAGCTCTAGCACTACAGAAGTTTTACAGCCCATTTTCCTACTGAGGCCTTCTATGTATTAAATCAACATTAAAGCCATTCATAATTATAGGTAATTATTATCCTAGGAATCATCTTGAAAATAGTTGTGTTTTTCATCAACACTTTCTGCTTTACTTTTGATTTCTCTTAAGCCAAAGGGAAGAGTAAACTTCAAATAATGAACTTTTACACATTTGTTCTGTTTAAATTTTCAGCCTTCCCAACACATATACAGTGAGGTAGCAAAGTGTTCCATGTTATTTCAAACCAGTGGAATCCTTCACTCATTTCTGGTAAGTTTGCTACCGTGGGAAAGTTCATATTATTTATTGTATAAAATATATGCCTATGGATCTAATAAAAGAATATTTAAAAGGCAGATAAGGGACATTATCCAATTAGATTTTGCAAGCAAGTTTAGTCAATGTAGCAGAAGCAGGAAGACTGGGCTGAAATTTCAAGAGCAGTCAATTTCCTGCAGATATATTGGAGTTCTTGCAGTTATTCAAAGTGACTGAGTATTGGAAAAATATCACAAATTCATGGACAATAAAAACAGATTCTAAGTCAAATAGAAGCAACTGCCAACATCCAAACATGACTTTATGAAACTGTCATTTTTCATAAGGTAAAATAATACTACATTAGGGCAATTCTTTGCAATACAGTCAAGGTCTAGCGATGTAGGGTGAGAGGAGATATGTTAAATAGCTGTACAGCAATAGCTTGTAAGCTTTAAAAGAAAACACTTTTACAAAACATTCTAGATATTGAAGTTTAAAATTTGAAACACATTTGCCAATTACTTCTCTTTAGATTTGACAAACTGCAATTTTTTTTTTTTTTTTTTACTGACCAATAAAAGGAAAAGGAACTCTGGCAGAGTATTTAGCTTTTCCAGCTTAAGATTTTAACAGTTCTGGAGGAGTCCTACCAACTCCAGAATTGTTAAGACTCTATGCCAGCTATAAGGCATATTGCATGCTCTGTAAAGACATGTTTTGGAATGAGATGGCTGTTTGATATTGGATGTTTGCACTTCATCTTACTGCAGTTTTTTTTTTTTTTCTGGTAACTATTGCACAAAAATCCATGAAGTCTCTAATAAAATGCCTGAGCACTGTATGAAGTATGCTTAACAAAAGCTTCAACATTAGTCTGACAAGGATTCAAAAGTGATATCAAGATTAATATTTTAAGTGGTTTAGTCTTGCATTCTTGCTAGTTATGCCAGAGTCCTACATACTGTACAGAAGCAGGTTTTAATAACTGTTCTGGAGCACCACAGTCCAAACTTAACACATAAACAACACATTACTGATCAAATGGACAGCAAATGAGCCTTCAGCTGATACACGCAGGTCAGGATCTGTGTGGAAAGGAGTGTAAGTTCTAGACAATAACAAACTACAGAAGGAACTATCTTAACCTAAAAGTCTACCCCACTACCACTAAGACACATTTCCAGGTGAATAAAGCAGCACACACTTACAGTGTGTCACAGAGGAAGATCTCCAAACATACCATGATTAAGCTCCTGGCAGCCCTCCCACTCCCAAAGCGCTCTACATACTCACCATCTGCAGGATTGCACCGTATAAGCGCAGGAGAACTTTCCGTGGTTCATCTGCAACCGTCTCCGTGGTGTCAGGTAGCGAGCATTGAAACAACATGTTGCTGAGGCCACCTCTATGAAGGGAATGGTGATATTCTTTAGTATAGAAGATGCATGCTCTGTCAAAGTAGCTAAAAAAGGCATTTCTGTTTCATGTCCACTTACTGCAAATGATTAGATCARGGTAGCACCGACACAAAGTTTGGACTACAAAGGGTAATTTCTACTGAGGAAAAAATGAGAGCAGATGCACCTGAGGAATATTTTCCATTGTTACCTCAGCAAACATCGCACGTGTTTGGTATCTCTGAAATAGGAAGGCAGGTACAACTGGCCAATAAGCATGGCAAAACTGACCAAGCAAGGGGGACATACTGGAATTTACTTTCCAATTTTGAAACAAAAGTGGGTAGCACAGAAAAATGTTTCTGTTCATCAGGTTGGGAGACAGATAACTGAGAAACTTGACAAAGTTCCTACTGAAGTCTTGTCAGACTTGGTACAACACATAAGCATGAAAACAGTAAAACATACTTAACATCTTTTGCAGTGAATCTCAACTAGCAAAAATGCAATTTTAGACTCAGCACCATCTTTCATATTCCAGTTTGGACTGAAGCCCTTGTGCTAATACAATTAAAGAGGCATAAGCAGCCTAACAAATCGAGGTAAGGATCCACTTGAAATTAAGAAATAACCCAGAGAGACGCTGGCTAATAGATATAATACAATAAAATGTACTCTAAGAATACATGCTCTCAAAATAAAGCTCTACCATATTATCATATTTATCCCCATCCATTTGTCATGTTATCCCATCTTTTATGAAGAGCTTACTCTTCATAAGCTTATTAAAGTTCCCCTTGTTTGGTATTGCTGTCCTTCATTTGCAGTCCTGTCAATATTACTGTTAAAAATCAAGAAAGACTTTCCCCAAGCACTGTTTAAAAAAAAAAAATCCCAACTGCAGGACTAATTAGATCCATAAAAGCTCAGTACAGATAAGTTTCAAAGATAAAGATTAAAGCAAGACTGATTTTAGGCATTSGTTATACACAAGATAAAGCCTTAAGTTTGAATTAAGATCAGGTTTCACTGGGGTGGCAGCTGGAAAAACTTACTGTTTGACCATAAAACATATGCTGCAGCATTACCAGTGAAAGTTATACTCACACTATCACTCTTTGGATTAAAATTAAATTTTAAAATCAAAACAATTTAAAAGACTTGATTATTTGGTAAGACCAAAATGATCATCCAAAATATTATCAAGCAATACAAACTAGGGAAACATACTGTTTAAATTTTTCAGGAATTAAGTTAGCTTTCCTTATAATTACTGTTTTACTACTGCTTGACAGGAAAAAGGCAGCATTTTATTATTCTGTGGGTTAACACAGTAGATTATACTGGAGGAACTAACTTTACTAGCTTCAAGCAGCTCTTTTAAGAAAAGTTTTCYCGACCAACGTTTTCTTTACATTTTTTATAGTTCTTCTGCCTCTTCTTCATTGCACTTGACACATTCATTAACAATATTTCCTTTCTGTCCTGCAGTCTAGCTTTTCCTTTGTTGCTGTTGCTTCTGCTCTACAAAACAAGTACTGAAACCTGCTTCACTTGCAAAGCAGAAATGTACGTCAGCAGTACTGGAAAAAAACAGTCTCATCATTAAAAAGATACCTTTCAAGAAGAAATATAACTCAAGAATAGTAGCTAGTAGTGGTAAGGGGATGAGATAGTATAGATTGAAAGGCTGAAAAAATATCTGCAGCACGCTCCTTTCTCAACTTAATACAGATATTTCAGGATTTAAGTAATTCTTTGCCTTGACAAGACATTCCTTGCCTTCACAAACTGTCTAATCCTTCATACTACCCAGGTGCGTTTTGCTTCCAGGAAGCTATGAGGAATCCAAATAAAAATACAACTCAAATACAGCTCTTGCTCCTAGCCTGGCACTCATCTCTATTTTTTCAGATAATTTTCTGGGTTTTTCTTTGCAAACCACAAGAGAACTAAAGACTTTCTGCAGTAGAGAACAAAAACACAGTCTGATTTGCATTTATTTACTGGGAGATGCTACACAGAAAATACAGGTTGGCTTATGGATCCAGAGCCAATGATAGAGGAAGAATAATCAAGAAAACATGGTAAAATACCAGCTGAAAAGTGAGCTCAAGAAAGCAGGAGAACCAGATGGCCTGGCAAGCAGCCAACAATGATGTTAAAGAGACAAGAGATATGAAGTAACTTTGAACCATGAAGGTGAACAGGTAGAGAAAGAAAACCAGAACAGATGGAAAGGCTATCAACTGCAGAGTGAAAATAGACTATTTAGAGACATGGGCCTATTTAAGAACACGGGCTGGTACCAGCTGCATTTTTGATGTTAAACTGACCTTTTCAAAGTCTTTGCTCTAGAATTTGATGAAAGCACATGCAAAGAATAGCAGACCTAAGCAAGTCTGAAATCACTTCATAAAAAAATACCAGACTGGGAGATAAGGAATCCTGTAAAAATAGTTTGGTTACTTAAAGACAAGCCCAATCGTTGTACAATATATGAAAGCTCAGAAACCTTCTCCCCCAGCAGGAGCACCTCGCTTTGGCTCAGCTCCATTACATGGGAGTTTAACTATAGTTTTATGCACTTCAGACTTCTACAAGTTATCTCTAATCAGTGTAATTCATACAGAAGGCACCTAGAGGCATTGCGCTCTATATAGGTCAGTATAYTCACCAGCTTGTTAAGGGTCAAGGGAGCATATCTCATCTGTACACAGATAAAGCTATCAGTTAAATATCAACTACTAGAAATATTTAAGGGAAGCCCTTCCAAAGCATCACCCATATTAAAGGCTGCCCATAGCTTTCCCCAARCCAGGGCCACAGTAGTCTGATTTGCTTACATTTGTGTTTCAGTAGCTGTGAATTCATGTCTTGGCTCTCCAAGGAAAGTCAAGGCTCTTCAACCTATGGAAAGAGTATCTAACAGCTGTTTTCGGACATGATAYGCACTGGTACAGACAAACCATCCATGCTGGTTTTACACCTGATTTTGCACCTGATTTTTGAACCAACACTAAGGAATTTTACACTGCTTTCTCCCTCAGTGAAGGTGGCACAGGTGAAGCTCCTCTGCAAAAGCCAGTCAGCAAGGTGCAGCACACAATTTCACACCATCTGCTCTTCCTCCCAACCCAGGAGCTATCAAGCCGTTTTGAAGGGGGATCTCAAACAGAAAGTTTTGAAGAAAGGCAGAAATAACTGTCCTAGAACGCAAGATTTCATGAAATAAGTGGTGCACGCTGAATGAAAAGAGAATTAGCCAAGCTAGCTTACAGAAATACAGTCAYGCTCGCCTATTGAACCTCATTATCCCTTCACAAGCTTAAGAACCCTCTGGGCGGAAATAAGAAAGCAAGCCGTTAACTTTCAAGGAGACAGACATTTTTTTATTTAAAAACGACGAGGAGAGAAAAAAAAAAAAAGGCGCGAGGCGCGCTGAGTCACCGGCACTTGCCAGCAGCGGGGACTCGCCGCCCCCTCCACCGGCCGGCTCGCGAATTTCGGAAAGGCCGGGAAAAAAGGCGCCGCGTCGAGCCGGGAGCCCCGCGGGCAGCACCGCCGCTGCGGCACCGCAGCCGCCTCAGCCGCAGCCCGCTGCAGCGCCCCGCGGGGGATGGGGGAATTCCAGCTTTTTTTTTTTTTTTTTTTTTTTTTCCTCCCTCTTCTCCCTCCAAGGGAAAAGGGGAGAAATTGACCCCTCCTCCGCCCGCAGCCTCTCCCCTCCACCCCCGGCGCTGACCTGATGGGGCTGATGCGCAGCTGCTCCTCCCGCAGCGCCCGCCAGGCCCCGGGCAGGAACTCCTTGCACCACAGATACGCCTTGCGCCGCGTGCGGGCATCCAGCGGCGGCTCCTCCTCGGCCACCGGCGGCAACAGCAGCGGGGAAGGGGGGGTCATGGCGCCCCCGCCTCTGCCCGCCGCCGCCGGCTCCTTCCCCTCGGGCTCGGCCAGCGGGGGCGGCGGCGTAAGGGGCTGCCCGGCGGCGGGGAGGGCGACGCCGCCGCCCCCGCCCGAGCCGGGGCTGCAGCCCAGGAGCAGCCCGAGCGGGGARGGCTCGTTCTCGCCGTTACAGAACTTGGTCTTCATGGCGCGCGGGGGAGAATGGCGGTAACGGGCGCGAGACAGAGGGGGGCGGCGGCCGTTGAGGAACGCGACGAGCGCAGCCTCCACCACGAGCGCCAGCCGCGAATGAGGCGCGCGCCGCCCGCCGGCCCCCCCTTTATAAGCGGCGTGGCACGCGGCCCCGCTCGCCTCACGTTCTCGTCCTAGATCCTGATTGGCCGCCGGCTCCCTCCCCGCCCCGCCCTCGGGGAACGGGAGGGGGCGAGCGCGCGACTCCTGCCTCCCGCAGCGCCGCGCGATTGGTGCGCGGCGGAGCACGAGGCGACCGCCTGCGCCGTCACAGCCGCCTCTGTGAGGGCGGGGGAGAGGGGGCAGCGCGCGCGCGGAGCGCACCCATTGGCTGCGCCCTGCGTTGCCCCGGTGACCGGCGCGCGCAGCTGGGGGGGGGGGCTGCAGCGCGAGGCAACCCCCGCTCCCCCCCACCCCCGCCAAGGCCCCAACGGTCGCGGCGCCCCCGCAGCCCAAGGCCGAGGCGGTTACAGCAGGTTCGTGACGGGTCCGCGCCCGCCGCGCGTCGCCAGGTGTTGGAGGCAGCCCTTAGCCCCGACCAAGAGGCCTCCTCGGGAGCCCCGGCGCAAGTGACGTGCCCCAAAAGCATCCGAGCCATCTCCACGCTGTGCAAAGCACATCACGACAGCCAGGAATATGTTTATTTAAGGTCCCTTGCGGGAAGATACCGAGTCATTTATGGCAATTGCCATTTCTAGGGGCTGATTCATCCCCATGGGGTGAAGTGGCCTCAGGCAGCTTGGGGAAAAAACATACCTGAGCAGCAAAGTAACATACAAGAAGAAAAATGGGTGGTGCATGAGCCTTCTTAATACTGGTGGTGATGTTCAGCTCCGGTTTCCAGCACGGCCGCGGCCGCCGGGATGTGGCACGTGAGGGATGGCAGAGCCCAGGTGTCAGCCAGCTGGAAGGAGCCGCTGCTTTCCAGACCACGCTGAAGCCCCAAGGGAAGGGAAAGTTGCCTAATAGGTAGTATCATCTCACCACAAATGAGCAATAAATGCATAAACCACCTTTAATCTTTGATCTACCTTTGCCCGCACATGCTTTTCATGCTTTTTTCTCTTCTTTTTTTTCTCTTTTTTTTTTTCCGTTATCTTTCTCTTGCCGGTCTTCTATGTTATATACGAGTACTGTGTGGGCTTTTCTAATAATAGTTGCCATTATTGCAGGCATTATTATTGAAGCTGGGTTGTGAGGGAGTCCCTAACGTGCTCTTTCTCTCCTCTCCCCCTCCCTCCATAAATATTTCACTGCATAGGCTGCTCCCTTTCTCCATCTGTGCGTTTCACTTTGGCACTCCAGAGCTGGAAAACTCCCAAATTACCCAAAGATTTTTTGAGAAGCAGCAGGGAAGTTCCAGATCTGGCATCAGAACCGCTTTGTGCCGGCATATTAGCTTTTAGCACAACCAAAATGGTCATGGCTGAGGCAGGCCAGACCCTCRTTTGCAGGAAGGGTAAGGTAGGGGTTAGGATGCCAAACTGGAACAAGAGAGACACAGGTTTCCTTTTCTCCCCTTCTGTGCCTTAGCTTTTCATTTGCAAAATGCTTCAGCTTTTCATTTGCAAAATAGCTTTTCATTTGTAAAATTTGCCAAATTAAGCCCTCAATGGAAGGAGCACAAGCTTCCAACACTGTTCCCTTCACCTGTTGGGAGGACTAGGAATTGTTCGGGGTTAGAGTATTGCAGCTCTGTTCCTACCTAGACCATCTGAGAGCTGCAGCTTGGGATGAGACTCCAGAACGGCCCAAAACTGTTGGCTGATGTGCTGCTGCATTAAGCAGCCACAAAACATGTTTTCCCACATGGGCACTTGAACAGGAAAAAATTCCAAGTTGTGACCTCCTYCTCCAGTCCAGTCCCACAACAAATAGTTAGCATTTCTAGGAGTAAACCAGGGAGTTTGCACCTGAGTTCCACTTGCAAGGATCTCTATTTGTTTTGCAGGTCCCTGCGGAAGAAGCTGAAGACATCACTGATAGGTAAGTGATGTCTTCACTTATCTACAAGCCAATTCTACAGCTAGAAATCTCATTCTGCACAAACATTGGTGTCACTTTGTACAGGAAGGAGAACCAGGGAAAATACCAGAAAAAAAATCTGTCTTTCAAACTGGTCCTCCTGCTTCTGAGTGCTCGACCTTCACTCTGCTTTGTCATAGCATTGCTAACAGAAATTTATTTCTGACGAGAGTTATATGACAACATTTTTCCAGGGTGTCATTTGCATAGAAATGGAAAGCAGAAAAGTCAGAGAAGAAAATGGCTTCTTTCTCCCAGGGAAAGAAGGTTTGCTCCACTTCTACTGGGTATCTTACCTAATACCAACTTTCTGGTACTGCCCATTTCACTGACATTTGTTCTCACACCAA